AGTGTAGTGGTAGAAGTGCTCACTGAGCCACCATTTACCAACAGATTTGGCTATATGGAGAGGTCCTAGTTGACTAGATTTTAACCAGTGTGACACCTATGTCCCAGAAGTGCTGGAAGGATGAATACAGGGAACTACAGGCCTGTCAGCCTGACCTCAGTGCCCAGGAAAGTGATGGAGCAGATCATTTTCAGTGCCATCATGTGGCATGTACAGACTAAGGGGGGGATCAGGCATGGGTTCATGAAAGGCAGGTCCTACTTGACCAACCTGACCTCCTTCTGTGACAAGGTGACCTGCTTAGTGGATGTGGGAAAGGCTTTAAATTTTGTCTGTCTGCCTAGACTTCAGTAAAACCTTTGGCCCTTTTTCCCAGTGTTCTGGAGAAACTGGCTGCTTAGGACTTGGATGGATGCATTGTTCACTTGGTGAAAAACTGGCTGGCTGGCTGGGCTCAGAGAGTGATGGTTAATGGAGTTATATCCAGCTGGCAGCCAGTCACCAGTGGTGTTCCCCAAGGCTCAGTATTGAGGCCAGTCCTGCTTAAGATCTTTATCAATGACCTGAACAACGAGATTAAGGGCACCCTCAGGTCAGTTTGCAGACCACACCAAACTGGATGGGAGTGTTAATCTGCTGGAGGATAGGAAGGCTCTACAGAGGGATTTGGAAAGGCTGGATTAATGGGCTGAGACTGACTGCATGAGGTCAACAAGGCCAAGTGCTGAGTCCTGTCCTTGGGCCACAACAGTCCCAGGCAGTGCTACAGGCTGGGGACAGACTGATTGGAAACTGGCCTGGCAGAAAAGGACCTGGGGGGTGCTGGTTGACAGCAGCTGAGCACGAGCCAGCGATGTGACCAAGTGGCCAAGAAGGTCAATGCCATCCTGGCTTGGATTAGCAACAGTGTGGCCAGCAGGACCAGGGCACTGATTGTCCCCCTGTACTTGGCACTGGTGAGGCTGAACCTCGAGTCCTGTGTTCAGTTCTGGGTCCCTCACTGCAAGAAAGACATTGAGATGCTGGGACATGTCCAGAGAAAGGCAATGGAACGCATGAGGGGTTTGGAGCACAGGTCCTATGAGGAGCAGCTGAGGGAGTTGGGGTTTTTAAGCCTAGAGAAAAGGAGATTGAGGGGAGATCTTACTGTTCTCTGCGACTGCCTGAAAGGTGGCTGTAACAAGGTGGGGGTCAGTCTCTTGTCCCAAGTAAGTGGTGATAGAATAAGAGAAAATGACCTCAAGTGGCCCCAGGGGAGGTTTAGATTTGAAATTAAGGAAGATTTCTTCACTGAAAGGGTTGTCAAGCGTTGGAATGGAGTCTCCAAGGAAGTGGTGGAGTCACCATCCCTGGAGGTTTTTAAAAGCCGTGTAGATGTAGCACTTAGTGACGTGGTTTGGTGGTGGACCTGGCAGTGTTGGGTTAATGGTTGGACTTCATGATGTTAGAGGCTTTTTCCAACCTAAATGTCAGGGTCTCTGCCAGTTGAGATACTGTTGCTCAGTTAAACAGAACTGTGGAGAATCACACCAGCAAGGTCTCTTATGCTTGAACCAATCTTGCTAAATGTGTTGAACGACCTGAAAAATGGTTATAATAGCAGGACAACACAATAATGTAAAATGCTAAATGAAATTATATGCTAATGAACATAAAGTAGTGCATGCGAGAAGGAAAAGGGAACTGATGAAAAATTTTATTGTATGTATAGAGTAGAAAACTCTACATTATGTATTATCACTCATGGAAAAGATTCTGAAATCAAAGTAGATTTTTGGTAAGGTAAAAAGGTAAAAATCAAAGAGCCCTCTGGAAAACACTTTAGTAAAAGGGAAATTTAATTTAAGAATTGTTGGAAAATAGGGGCAGTGCAGAAAATGTGTTTCAAATGTATAAATCTATAATTTGTCTGAATATTGTATTTGTCCTGTCCTTGCTATCACATCTGAGGACACAGGGATACTGGAAATGACTTTTTAAAAAGGTGGGGAGAGTAAACGAATGATCAGAGGAGTGGAAAAATGTCTTTATGGTGATTGACTAGATAGACCGAGTTTCTCTACCTTGGAAATAAAATAACCTAGAGAAGATAAAGTGGAGCAAATGAAATAATGAATTGCATGAAGAGAGTGAGTGCAGAACTGTCATTTCAGTATCTCTTAAAATATAAGAACTAAATAATTTGTGTTTACATGTCCAAGCAAGTTCAAAACAAAGAGTAAGAAATACTTTTTCATACAAAAAATAATCAAACAATGTGAGACACTGCCACTAGATGTTGCAAAGGCCAAAAGTTTAACTGAGTTCAAAAAGGGATTAATGGCTACTTTTGTTTCATGAATTGTAAAAACATCCTGCTCAGACACAACTTCTGGTTGAGGAAGTATCTAAACCACTAATTGCCAGAAGATGGGAAGGAGGGGTTGCTAAACTCTTGCCACAGTTCTTATAATCTTTCCTTATGCATCTCCTAATGGGCGTGTTGGGACCAGGATAATGGGCTAGACAGATTGTGTTGTTTTGTTTCTTTTTTTTTGGTCTGACCTATTATGGTTCTTTTTATTTTGTAGGTGTAGATTTTTTTTTTTTCAGTAATAGGGAGACAAAATGGAAATTTTCAACTTGTTTTTTGAGTTCAGTAAATGCTGTCTGGAATAAGATTCTTCATAGGTAATTATGAATGAACACACTTTTTGCTTTTCTTATTTTAAAATATAAAAAATTAGTCCAAAAATTCATCTATTGCACATTTAGGAAGTTTTTCTCTAAATATAGGGAGATGTGGATGAAGGTGAATCATTTATATACGTAATTTGAGTGATAATGCTGTATGTCTAATTTAAAGACTAACGTGTCAGAAAAGCTGAGATAGTAACCAGAGGGGGAGTTTTCTGTGGCCCTTCTCAGAAAGGATGTGAAGGGGGTTATTTTTGCTACTGTTGTCAGTTAAGGAATACTAAGTTTCAGTGAAAGAATATCCTAAATTCTACAGTTGTACTTGCAACAATTAATAGGAACAGAAGCCAACAAGGAGAGTTTCTTTAACATTTGTAATTTTTTTTGTTTTACAGGTCTATAATCTTTTTTTCTCCTCAGAGTGAATTTTGGCTTTTGGGACCAGAGGAAATATGAATCATTTTTTTGTTGTTGGGTTTTTTTCCCTTCACTAAGCTTCTTTTCTAGTTTTTTTAATGCGAATTTATAATACAGAAGTTTATTTCTATTTACTAAGCAGAGGTTTAATCAATTATCATAGTGCACTTTAGAAATGAAAGGTACATTACTCTGCGTCAAATGAGTTTATCCTGATCCACACGCAAACTATGCACAACATTATAAATCATGGTCTCAAACTTCTCAAGTTGTTGGTTTTGTTTATTAGGAAACCTTGCTTCAGATCCAAAAAGGCAATAAGAAAGCATGAAGAAAGTGGGCCTCAATTGATCATGAAATGCCATTACACAATATTCAAAGCTGAGTGAAATAAAGACGTTAAATAGCAGCAGCCTGTAAAGTTTAAAATTAAAAGTAGTTTCATCAAATAGGGTGAAAAGGGAGATTGGATCAATGAAACTGATCTCTTGTATCTTGTTTGCTGTCAATTTGCATGAAATGATACTTGAGGTCTGCTCCTTTTCATATGTACGTAAATACATTTTGTTTATTTATGGAATATTACTGGAGTGGTCTGGCAGGAGATTTCTTGAGTTCAGTGTATAAATGGAAGCAAAAGAATGAAAAAGCCTTCCATCTGGTCATCCTTAGCCTAGCTAATGTAATTGCAGATTTTGTTCTAACAGTAAAGTTTAATATAACAACACAGAACTTTACTATTGTGTTGCTGAGTTGCAATGAATCAGTATCTGAATTAAATGAATGGGAATTATAATAAAAACATATTTTTTGTCCTATCTGGTATAGTATTATTTAAAACTGTAGCTTGTATCCAGAAGGTAGACAGCAATCCACTACTTTGTCAGATTATCTGTAGGATACCAATAGAAACATGAAAAAAAATTAAATTCATTTTCTCTTGCTTTTCCTGAATCTAATTTCTGCTTTACCTTTTATCTTCAACTCTTTGGAAACCCTTAGTATGGTTGGAGTGGGGATTAAGGTATTTTTATTAGGGTCTGGGTACCTTTATATAAGAAAAAAAATAAATTAGGCACTTCCATCTCAAGGCTCTGGGGAACTTGTGATCCCTCACAAAGATGAGTTCAGAACAGCTCAGTACAGCTTCTGCATTGGGTACCATGTTTTACTAACTGGAGGGTGCAAGGGCACGAAATGCAGGCTCGTTGCCCTTGTGTCAGGGAGTGCTTATCAAGGAGTTTTTCAGCCTTACTGGTTCACATTATATTTGTTGTAGTGCAAAAATGTGGTTTGGAAGTTAGATGTGCAAATTGTACAGAGCAATGAGAAATAAGGGGTAAGGTACAGATCTGGTGAGGAAGTAGAATCCAGCTGAGATTTAAGGGATTACGATATGGCAGAAACAGATATTGCTGACAGTATTGTTCACTTGTCTTGGTTTGGCTGTGTAAGTTTGTGTGGAAGGGCTTTGGAGAGATGCTGCAAGGTAAAGCTATGTTAAGCAATTAATAGGCAAAGTGTCTAGATAAACCTGACAACCCCATAAACAACAAGCAAACATACTCATAACTTTGTTCCTTCTCCATGTCAAATGTAGATCTGAATGTACAAAAACTTTTTCCTTAAAAAGCATAGTCTAAACTTCTATTTACTACTGATTTTTCAGAAATAATTTTATAGCAGGGAATGTGATGTAAAGGTGATTAGAAAACCAGAACCTGTATTTGGAATGAAAAGCTAAACATATCGCTGTGTTACTACAAGCCAATTGTTTGTTCAATTTTTTTTGCCTTTTGTCAGTCTATTGTAACCTAGTAATGGATACAGCTGTATGGTGTTGCTGGTGGTTTTTCTAAGTTTTTTTCACTTTACCTCATTCTTTCCTCTCTTTCTCTGCCTTCTAGTATGCATTTAATCCAGGTGGACTCTGTTCAGCGTTGGATGGAAGATTTGAAGTTGATGACAGACTGCGAATGTATGTGTATTCTCCAGTCCAAGCCCATCAGCATTGAGAAGGATGAACAAAATGAACTTATGCTTTCCTCACAGTATAGCACTTGTGATAACTTGCAGCTTCTGTTAAAGAGAGCTTGGATCATAAGCACAGAATTGACAAGGATTGCTCAGAAGCTGGAGAAGAATAGGTGGCAGAGAGTCCACAGCATGACAGTAAGAGTCAACTGCCACGTGCGTTCAATGATAAATGAGTACAATACGTTCACCAGGAATCCTTCAGAAGAAATGCACCAGGTATGATGCTTTACTTGATGTCATGTTTCTCTTATTTTTTGTTTATTATTATTATTATTATTGCTATTATTATTATTTGCTTTAAACAATCTGTAAGAAATCCTTATATACTGATACTGGTCCCTGGTTTAAGACTTTCTAATGTCTTTTTGGTGACTGACATTTTATTGAATTATTTTGGATCCTATTTTACAGGCTTGATTCTGAATGTTTTTAATGACTAATGGTGTTGAAAAATGTTTTGCTTTTGAACACTACAGGACTAAAGTATTTCGATACCCCATCTGTGAGTTCCTTTGCATTTCCAACATGGAAAATGCTACTTTTTTGTAAACTTCAGTTTTATCTCTACCTGTTTTATTCAGAAAAATAGATAAAGAAGGTTCATGTCAAATATTATGCTTCTGGAGGTTTTTCAATTAAGAAACAAGTATTATTTACTTTTGTAAAGAAATTATGTATATGGGTATTGCTTTAAAACCACTTTCTCTTTCTCTCTCTGCAGTTTGAAAAACTTTTAATAGACAAGTGTTCAGAATTTACAGCATTCACAGAAAGGTAACTTAAATTTTGTAATTGGAATATTAATTTTGCTGGTTTATTATGTTGTGGAATTTCTAATGAGAAGCACAAATCCACTAACACCCTCAGTTGTTTGAAATAGGCCCCTGTAGCTCTGCAAGACTTTCTACATACTAGTTTGTGCTGGGTGAAGTGAGTTGCTTTTATCTAAACTGCATTCTTATGAAAGATGGGATCTGCTGCTGCACAAAAAGCCTGGCATAGATGCAAAGCTTCATGCAAGTGGATTTTTCAGGACTTATAGACACAACCAAGGGAGAAAGTCTGGCTCTAAGGATGTCAGCAACAAAGTGCCCTTCCAGTTCTGTGGAGCCAAGATTTCAGTTGGTGTGGAAACTTAATATACACATATCCATGTATGTATATCAAACCAAAATAAATACACAATCCTTTAAATTGTAGTTGTAGGTTTACTCATCTCCCTGCACTCTGGAATGCTGAGAGTAGAAGATAAGAATCTCTATAATTCTTCTCATGGTGTCTCCACTGCTGAAGTTACCCAATCCCTTCAGCACAGTTCAATCACTCTTTTTCAATTTACTTTTAACACTATGCAAGTCATTTTGCTTTGGGGGAAGACACCATCTAAATATCAGGAAAAAACATTTTTTTGAGCACTATTTCTTTTTGCCAAACCCACACAGCTCAGACTTTATATTCTACTATGAGACACACTGATTTAATGAGAGCTCTGATCTCAAAGTGTCTGCCCCGAATCAGCCATCCCCCTCCTTGTCTTTTTAACTAAAATTTGATATAGGTGGGTGACAGACAGGAAAAGCTGAAAAGGTTTACCTATGTAGGTAAAGAGACTGATCAGCCAAACTGTATCTTCCATTACAGAGGCCTGTCTTGGCAGAATATGTTTTAGCAATTCAAATAAATGTATTTCTGTGAGGAAATATTAGTTATTTCATTTGAATTGTATAAAGTTTTCCCTCTTTACCTCATTTCTTCAATTATAGCCAAACATCACTGGTTACAGGATAGTTATACTAATTCTGTAAAGCTGCTTTATGTAATCTTTCTGCATAGATGGACAAATTTTACTTTTGAGTATGCTTTTTAACTCATCTGGACACACATTCTTTTCTGCATCCTTATTCTGCTATCATTAAACTATGGCAAAAAAGGTAAAGAAATGAAAATTATGGAAAACCCTTCTTTTATTACAAAAGATGGATGGATGTGCATAGCTGCAGTTGAAATACAAACATCTGAGAGCAACTAGAACTGTCATCACAAGTGGAAAAGAGCAGTTACACTATATGAACACACAGCATCTGCAGCAAAATTTGACCTGCAGTCTGTGAAGTTGTTATACCAAAATTATTCAGTAATGTCCACTATTATTTTTTCATGGTATACTTACTATGTGCAGACAAAACTTTGACTAATGTCTGGAATGATGCTAATGACACAAAGACATTTTCCTTTCCTGAATTCCCATTATATCCCCATTATTAACACAGGCCTCACCTCTGACAATGAGGTCTGTTGCATCTTTTTTTCCTTCACCCCTTTCCTTTCTCTTTCTTTTCAGGTGCATACAGACTGAAGATGAAGAGATACTGAAGTCTATGAAATCTTGTATTAATGAAACACTCACCACCGTTGCCCAGTATTTTGGCCAGTTGATAGAGCTGGTTTTAACACATGAGGCACAGGTGAGTTTATATTAAAAAAAAAAGCATTCCAAAAAGATTGAATCTTGAGGGAGACCATCTACTGGCGACCCAAGGTCAGGTTGGATGGGGCTCTGAGCAAACTGATCCTAGTGAAAGGTGTCCCTGCTCATAGCATGGGGTGGAACTAGATGTTCTCTAAGGCCCCTTGAAGCCCAAGCCATTCTGTGATTAAGAGGAGGATTAGAATTACAACTCCCAGTTTTCAACAAACCCATGATCGGTAATTCAAATATGTTGCAATGAGATTTAGGTGATTGTATTCTCAAATTCTCCAATAAACTCAAATCCCAGGCACAATGATCTTGTGGCTTACCATGTTGCTTACTTTTCCTCATGTCTCTCCTTTCTTGCAAGCTAACTTCTGGACAACGTCTTGCCAATAAGGTCTTTGGAAACTCCTTCTCTTCCTTTCAGACAGACACTGCTTTCCTTTGGAAACCTTGGAAAAAAATTATCTCCTGCTCTCAGTAATTCTCTTTAAAAACTGAACTTTTAAATACATATATATATATATATATATAGCAAGTATATTATTGCAACACACATTTTAAACAATGCATGTTTTAGACTCCAGGAAGTAGTGATAAAATATAGTGTTGTGTACAGGTTATACATTGTCCAGAGAGGTTGTTGACTCTTCTTTTCTGGAGATATTCAAGAGCTGCCTGAACACAATCCTAATTAATGTGCTAGGGAATCCTACTTGAGCTGGGAAGTTGGGCTAGATGACTTCCAGTGTCCCTTCCAACCTTACTCATGCTGAGATTCCGATTCTTTGAAATACGCTGAGTAATTAGTCTGAGATTGCAAATGTATTAATTTCTTTTTCTGCTAGACCATTCTTGAAATAGTACCAACCTGCAAGCCTAACCAATCTATCATGACTTAGACTGTTTTCTTTCTTGAGATCTCGGTAAAAATCCCTTTGCATTCCCTAGTCTTCCTCATTTATACCCAATTAATTTGTCCATGTTTTAGAGGAGAGAGGCTGAAATTTTTTTGTTGTCCCTGCAGACAAAGAGGACAGGAGAGGCTTAGTGAACATGAAATAATTAATTAGTATTTACTAGAGTGCTAAAACAAAATTAGTGTGTGGTATTGGTTAAATTCTAACATACCTTGATGCGTTAAGATGTCAAAACAAGTGATTCTTTCAGAAACATCCCTTCTAGTTTTAGAAGATGATGACTAGTAGGTGAGAATCTCCAAAATACATTTGCAGAATTGCAGTCCAATTAACAAGCTGCTCGCTTTGGTTAAGAATTATGAGAACCATATGAAATGTCACATATGACTTGAGGTGTGTAAATAACTTTGCATATTGCAAATTCAGTGAGTAGGTGGTTGTTGTTTCAGTGCTTAGGCTTTTCAATCTGAAGAACAGTTATTCACTGCTGATATTTCTGTCTTTGGGCATCTCAGCATCTGCATGAAATCCCAGTCTCTTTTTCTTCTAAGGGAGTGGAATTATTACTCCACATCATCTCATTTGTATTTGTGGGGCTGAAGGACTTGGATTAGAACTCGTTAATAAAAATAATTTTAAGAACAGTTTTCTGAACCATTCAGCCAGCCTATGTGCCCACTTCTACCATAAAAACACATTGTCTGTGGGTAGTTTGTTGCTCTGAATCAGACTAAGTGACTGTGTGAGAGGTCAGAACTTTCAGCTTGCATTGTGTAAAGAGCTTTCTTTTCTAATCAGTGTATCAGGATTTTATTCAGCATAGGTTCATATCCAAGTGTGAACTGTTAAACTATACTTTTGTGGAACATTTTTCTAATGCTAAAGGTGAAAGAACAGAGCCTCTTAAAGGGAAGGTAATTGAATTTTGTATAAATAACAGTATAAAATGTGGTATGCTTCCTTACTCTTCTTTTAAAGTTGGATAAAAATGCTTACCTTCTTCCTCCCAGCAAATATAATTAGTTTTTCTTCTAATGATTCCATTTTGTTTCAGAAAGAGTAAAATGAAATAAACTTCTCTATGGAGCTGCAGTGACACAAATGCAAAAGCAATATAATTCTTTATGAAGATAAAAATATCTAATCCATTTCATACATTGGAGAAAACCCCCTATATTTCTTTATGAGAACTCCCCGTATTGATCAATGACATTTTCTGTGTAGTCTGAGAATAGTGATGAACCCAGAGGCTTAGAGAGTAGTGTAAGAAAAGGTATAGCAATATTCCTTATAAATAAGGTGGCAACCTTGTGATCAGCTTTTACACTAAGCTAAATTACTTGTCTTCTGAAAATTCTGGTTCAATTTCAGGCAAAACCCAATAGCAATTTACTAAATATCTGAAGAGTTCTTTGCTGAATTCTCAGACATGAGCCCATTTTCTTGCCCTGTAAATATTTAAAATATCACTATTCTTGGTTACACCTATTCAAATGCAGTGATAAATGAGTTAGTGCTACCAGTTTGACTTGTCCAACTTTTCTTTCCTTTCTCTGGGTGAGAAGCAAGATGATTAAAGAACTAGGCTGTATACTCCATCTTGTCTTTAAATATAGAATAATAGAACAGAACCATAGAATCTTCAAGTTTCGAAAAGAACTCCAAGACCAGCGATCTAACACAAATGCCTTTAATTGGAAGTAAGTTATGTTTATTATGTTATGTCACACAGAACCTGCTGAGACAAATAGAGCTGTCAGACAGTGTGCACGTCACCGAGTCGGCGATTAGCAGTTTGTTCAGCCTTACCCAGGAAGGTGCCCATCTGTGCCGTATCATAGCTAAGGTAAGGGCATGTATGGAGTGATCCAAAGAGAACTGGTAGTGCAAGCAAGTTATTTTACTTAACACAGTAGTGGTTGCAAGTTTTGAAATGTACAGTGCACGATGAAATTATGTATTTTCGGGAGACTAATAGTCTAGGTTAAAGAACAACAAAGTTTACTCTGAGAAAGTATTTTTTTTCCTTCTTTTGCTGTTTTTGCAAGCCTTACTTTGCAGATTTTACCACCACAACCATCCAATAAGAATTTTTTTTTTTCAAAAGGGCCACAGCCCCTCAGTCTTTAGTTTAATAAAGCTCGATACCTGTGCAAACATCTTCAGCAGGATGGCAAGCTCCAACAGGCTTCTGAGCATTGCTTCAGTTACAGTTGTCTCTGTATCACCTGAGGTATTCATCATTTGGGAACTTTTTTAATGTCTCTCCCGATGGCACTTTTTAAGTACCAGCCACTTAAGTAGAGAGAAACTTTACAATTGGCCATGCACATGGCTGACTATGCAGAGAAACAGAAAGACCTCTTCAGCTGTGTGTACAGAGGATGTTAGAGATATTATCAAAGATGTAAATTTAGAAATATTTTGCATGCATTATTATCCTTTAACGAAATAATATCATTACAGCTGCTTCTGTCAGTGTGTGTTCTTTTTTACTGAATAATTGGTGCTAACTTTTGGTACAAATGTATCATTCTGCCAAAATCAATGATACTGGAAATCCCTGAAGAGTTTGCACCTTTGAGGAAGTTTGCACCTTTGGAAAGTGAGAAAGGTAGGACATTGTGTGATGCTGAGGATAGGATAATCACAACAACAGGGTGTGTAGAAAAAAGAAAACCTCCCTCCTTAAGCTTCTACTTATGTAGTGGTGTGCTAATTTCTTGGCCTACTCAGAGATGAGGTTGAACAACAACATTTGATTAATTTGACTTCTGATGTGCCTTTAGATGGATATTTACACTATAAAAGGTACTACTCTGTTCTGAAGGCTGAGGATGAGGTAGGCTCAGAAACGTGTAGTGGATTCTGGCAACAGCCTGAGAGGTTTAATTTTTTTCTAAATTGGTATTTGAGCTCCACTCAGTGGTACCCAAAAACAATGTTAAAATGTTGAGTACTGAGGAACTGCAGAACTAGCAAACCAATGAAAATTGATGTTGTGCTTTTTACAATTTTGTGACTTCCATAACAGTTTAATTTAGCAGAAGTGAAGTCTCACCTTCCATAAATTACTCAACTAATATGTTGCTGAAACCTGGATGTGTCACAGGTTTATAGCTGAGGAAATGCATCCCCTTACGCAAAGAATCCTGAGTGGTGTTTACTGTAATTTGTTGCCAAATTACACCTGTGATTGAATCACCTGTCCTGTGTGTCTGTCTCCCCTGAGCACTGCGAAATGCATTTGTTCTGACTCACCCTCTTCCTTTGCCCCCGTATTTTCAAATTCAACCACTTGAATAGTTAGCTAGAACAGTAAAAATGCAAGGTGACTTGAAAAAAAATAAACTAAAAAAAAAATCTGAAATTGCATTCACTCATTATGAGGGTGAGAAAGGATTAAAGTCATGCAAAGATCTCAAAACCTTCCACAGATACTGTAGTTCCCTTGAGAACTGTCATATTATCCTTGGTAAAAACTAACCAGAGAAGTGGAATATTTGTTCACCGTGAAAGCAAAACTCAACAAATTTGTTCATGTAACCTTGAAGTCTTACTCTCCATGACAAAGTGTGATCTTGTGGCACACTGTTGTAAGGTTTTTTCCTGCCCTAAGCTATAAATTACAATTCTCAAGTACACCAAAATCTCTAAAATGCAAAAAAAGACCCATGATAGTATTGTAATGCTACGATATTACAGGAACTGATTTCTCTCTTTACATTTTGGTAAGGGTTTCAGTCTTCTCCCTCCTTCTCCCTCATACCCTGCCAGTATTTTACAGAAATTAAAAAAGGCTTGGAAATGCTCCCCTCTATGCTGAAGCGTCACCTATAATTTTATTTCACCTGGAGGTATTTTTTGACACTTTTTTTCAGCATGTAACTTGGTAATCTGCCATGAAAGAATCATGTTGCTGACTCACCCTGGCAGCCAACTAGTAGTTCTCACTGTCTGTCAGAGGTGTAAAGCCTGAGGTCTCTAACATAAATAAGTAGTAACAAGGACGTAATAAGAAAATTAGCATTACTTGGAGCAAACAGATAATACGTAGATTTGGCTTTTTAACAACCAGAAAGGAGAATTAGTAAAAAATCTGTTCCAGAGTTGTAATAAATAAATGCTGGGATATATAGTTATAAAGAAAAAAGTCTTTTTTGAAAATCCATTTTACCAATGATAGGGTCCAATACCAACTCTAATGAACTGGATGCTGCAATAATAGTCTTGTAAAGGAGAAAAAAGTGAAAATGAAGATAGTCATACCTGCCTATCACTCCTTTTGGAGAATGCTTGACTGATTTCCTTGTGGCTGCACAGCAGTTCACTTGCTTTGAGAAGCTTCTAATGCATCTTACCTTACCTTTGTACTCCAATTCCTTTTCTAGCAAGTGTTTACTATGAAGGTCTCTTTGGAGATCATCTATCAAGATAATTACAACTGTTTTCAAAGGCTTGATGAGAATTTATTGCATTTTGAGTCATTTCAGGCTGAAACTGCAAAATATTCCCTTAGAATTAGATGCCTTTTCCTTCCTCTCTTTACTCACTCAATTCACTATGCAAAGTGGGGCTTTTCATACATGTGACCTCTTTCACATACTGTTGGTGACTGTGTTCTGGGTGATTTTATCTACTGCTAGCCCTTCTGAACAGCATCCCAAGGATATCCCCAAAAACTGAATTCCTATTAATCCCATATACGAAAGGAGTAGGTCATCAGGTAGTAAAGCAAGTGCCTCTCTCTTCTTCTCTGTTTCAGAGTCTGTGAAGCCTGTCCCAAATGAAACTTGAGTTACAGCAAGAACAGCATTTCGTTTGTTGTTTGGTCAAAAACTGGAAATGCCAAAAATTCTGCAAAGTATAAATAAAAGCATACTTTATGTATATTGGGAACTTTTGGAAAAGTGCAGGTTGATCCCCAAAGCAAGCAAAACTCAGTACTGTTATGTGTCTTTGTCTGAATGGTACTGTTTACCCATTTGGCCAATCTGTGTATATCCCTGTCAGATGGAATAGTTTGACATCATTGCAAAAGATACAGGGGATGAAGCTTAAAAAAGCTGAATAAATTCTGAGAAATGCTCTCATCCCAGTGAGGGGATTGATTTTGACAAGCCACAGAATCAGGCTCAATATTTTCTACCTATCCTATATTTCATTTACAGATCTCTAGGTTCATTACTCATGATCAATATTTTACAGCTTGGTAATGGCACACAAGGCACAAAATAAACAGTTTAGATCTCCTCCTGATGAATGCAGTGATAAATCACTTCCTGTCCATCAAAGGGAAAAGTAGGGCACCCATTTGTCACAGAGAAGGCTTGAAGCAAATGTGCCAACATGGCTTGAGCTTCTACTAGTATTGTCCATAAACTTCTACTTATTATGACTGCAGCAAAGATTAAGATCATCTCTGATTTTGTAGAACTGCAGGAAATTTCAAATCGATAATGAAATTAAAAAAAAACTCTAACAAAACCATTACCTTTGGCTTGGGGATGACACCGTAACAGCTTTTTTCCCCTATATTTTTTACAGATAATTTAGTTACTGCTTGGGTGAAATACCAGTATCCTTTTGTGGAAGGAAAAATATAACTGAACTTTTTTTTTAGTGTACTGCCTCTTTTTTAATTTAAAGACTCAGAAATACCTTTCTGCAATAGGCTATATATAACAGTGTCAGATATAAAATAACTCATACAGATACATGAACACTTCTTACAATTCCAGAAATAAGTTTTACTTTTAGCAAACTTCAGTAAGCCTAGTGTTTCCACTGATGTCAAAGAAATTCCATATACATATGTAAAGGCATGATATAAAACTTCCATCTGAAAAATATATTGAAGTATTAATTTTCTCTAATTCTATATAAATTGGTATAATTTTTTTTTACACTGAATAGGGGGCTTTGCTTGCTCTATTATTCTTTATTGTATTCAAGCAGGACTAGTACAAAAGTATAGAATTCTGAAAATGAGTGGAGTTTGAATTGTAGCCTGGAGATTTTAAGTCAGTACAACTTATTGAACTTTCAAATAATACAAATGGTTGAGGAACAAAAAAATATTATTTCTATTAATCTAAAAAAAAAAATTAAACAAAGGCTACAGAAACAGACTTAAGAAGAAGGGTGTATTTTATAGTTGATCTATGATTTCAACTATTTTTTAATTTACTGCTGTGATCTGAATACTTTAGTCTGAGATCTTTGTCTGTAATCAATATTTGAAATGCTTTTCTCTCCATTATGTGTCTGGTCTTGCATAATATAAGACACCTGTAATCTACCTGATAGCAGAACATTTTGAAGTGAAAAATAATTAAAAAAATCCCCACCACATGAAGTGCATATGTTGTTGGTACTTATTTATATCTTTCCATTTGTTATATGAACTTTGCTAACACAAGCTGTACTGGAAATATTTAAGGATAACTAATATATACCCAAGTCTCTGTCATTATTGTTGCATTTAAAGAAAAATGCTTAGTAATGCAAATTTTATCCATTAGAGGATGAAGACAGGAATTGTATCTGTATAGAACTTGACACATATTTCTACCTTATTTTTAGTAGCTCTTCAACCACATGACCTTCTCGTTCAAATTTTTAGCATTAAGTAAATATTGTGTGGAGTTCAGAAATATAGAGGAATGGGAAATATATGCTAACAAAAATCTGCTTTATACTAATAGAATATGGCTGAACTATCACTTAAATGTCACTCTAATTGCCACCTATTGATGATTTTTTGTAATTTTCACATGAATGTCAAGTTTAATTTAAATGGAGCTTGTAATTGGTAAAAGTCAATCACTTAAGCACACCTCCTACTGAGATTATATTACTTTTTCATCACTTAGTGTACAAGCATTAATCAACTTGAGTTCTCTGTGTGAGCTTAACATCACTTTGGTGTTGTTATAGTAATTTGGATAAATTACTAAAGGAATCTACCCCCCAGCCTATTCTTGGTTAAATACTAGGCAAACATTCAGTGCTGCTTTCCTGATTTTTATTTTTCCCCTGCAGGAAGGAGGTGTAGTCACTCTCTTTAAGATCTGTCGCCAGGATTGTTTCAGATGTCTTTATCCCCAGACACTGAGAACCTTGGCATCAATTTGCTGCGTAGAGGAAGGGATGCACCAGCTGGAAAAGGTAGGCACTTCAGTATTCTTTACTGACTGCATCATAAAACAGAGAAGTGCTGTCTTTAATCTCTTCTAGGAATTGATAATATGGTGGTGTTTGATACTGATGATGCTCCACACTATGCTCACCTCCTCTGTGCTGAAAACATCTTTGGCCTTTACAAAATTAGCTGCAGCAGTAGCATTATTCTATTATCCTTTCACGAATAAGGTTCCTAAGTGGAGATAATTTTTAAAAAACAGATAAACGTGTTGGTGACTATGTCAAAAAAGCTAGAGAAATTACAATTTCTGGATTCTCTGGAGTGTTTTTTTAGAAACTCCATTGTTTCACATAATCCTTAAAGGAGAGAAAGCTTTATACCTCTTTAAATCCTTTCGTGATGCTCTGGTAGGGCAGCTGCTTGTGGTACTGAAGCAACTTGTGAGAGTTATAATTACACACAAAGAAGTGGGACAGATATAATTGTTAGCCAAGCAAAAAATGTGTCTGCTAATCAGCAGCAGGTCTCACGAAAGCCAATTTTAACTGGGATGACCAACATCAAAACATTATCCAGATAAAATTATATCAACATTTTAGGCTCCATTTCTTTCTCACTACATACTGCTATGTTTTGGAAAATGAACACTTCTGGTCACTAAATTATGATCTCATCCTTTGTATTTCATAAAACAGTCATCTTCCACAGCTGAATAATGGCCTCTTCAAGTTAATGATAAATGATTTCAGTGCCACTTTGCATTGACGTATCTTGTAATTTACTGCCCCAAATTCAAGCAAACTGTGACAGAATATCTGAAGCAAAAAGCAAGTCTCTGAGCTTACAGTAAATGAAGATGACTTAAATTTTTCTTGACATAATGCTGTTTCAGACTGACACCAGAATCAGTCTAAAAGGATCTTTCATTATGTCCACTATAATAGAGGAATTAATAGAGTTAGAAATGAAAAAGATTGATTTATCTCACCTGGTCCAATTCCTGGCAGTGTCAACATGTGTTTAATGTGGCCCATATCAAAGCTGATGAAACAGGAATACTAGAAAAAGTGACAACTTTCAAGATCTTTCTTTAATCTACTTTAATGTTTGTCACAAGTTAAATTTATCAGGGTAAGCTTTACCACAATCAGGATTGGAGCAGGGTTTAAAGGATTTTTAACTGAAATCCCCACCTTCAAGGACCTTCAATTCTTAAATCACCTCTTGGCAAAACTTAAGTCTGGAACATGAGGGCCTGGACATTAATCCTGTTCACCTGACTGAACAGACAGGTTTATGAAAGGAGATTTGGTTATCACACTGTCAACTTCTTTGCCCAAAACTGTGTTTCTGAAGATCTGTATGTTATGTGGGTCCAGCACACAGTACGGTATGTTTTGTGGCCTGGGTTTCTGTTGGGTGAGAATGTGTGACTTCTTATGGCAAAAGAAACAAAGACATTTTCTCTGCGAGGAGGTTAATGTGCCTCCAAGTGCTCATGGATATTAAACAACACAGGCCATGTCAACCATATGTCATCTGTAAATAATCTATCAGAATGTGACAGCCCAGGTTTGCCAGTTCAGATTGCTGAGAAATGATAGTAAGCAAGAAGGTTTTACTACTCTTTGTGTTCTCTTTTCATCCTTTTTGTACATTTATTTAGATGCAACAAGGTATTCTGACACAGGGAATCAATGGAAAGTGCATGTTTTGGATGACCAGTATTTTGATGGGAACAATACCCCAGTTTTTTATATTGTCTTACTTAAAAAAGAGAGGTTTATTTCTTCCAAAATTTGAAGTACTCTTTCAAAGAAAAAAAAAAAAGAGGATTAACAGTATTAGTACTATCAGTTAACAGTATTATCATTACAAAAGTTAGCATAGGACTTTTTTTTTGTCAGAAAGAGTGGTTTCTATTATCCAACTGAGTACTGGGTGCTAGTGAAGCATTTAATTTGCTCTAATGTGAATATCATTATGCCACCTAGTGCATTAAAATATCAGTGCAATTTGAATTTGATTTTTAATGACAGACACTCCATACAAAAAAAAAAAAAAAAAAAAGGCTTGGACTCCAAAAGATTCAGATTAGGCAAATCAAGATAAAAAAAACCACCAAAACCACACAAGCCCTCCCTCCTCTATTTTTCAATTAGAATTTACAGCCGTTAAAGTGCTTAGAAGACCACTTAAAAGAAAGCATCAAGAGCTATAATTTCTAATGAAACATTTATCTGAGAGGTGAACTAAAATGGGGTAGTATACTTTCTGCAGTAATTGCAGTGCTTAATTACTAAAGACATTGGGAATATTGTTTATTTATCCAGTGCTCTTTGATCTTGCCAATTCAGTGGCAAGAACATGTATTAATGTAGGTGTTATTTAGAAAATGAGCAAGGAAGTTTGCAGTTCACAGGAAGCAATCCAAGTAGAGAATATCTTAACTTTTTAACATCTATCTTTAGATACACCTGAGTAATATTTCTTTATACTTGGTGCAAATTTAATGTGAATGGGTTTGCTGGGTTTGCACCATTTGTCTTTAATTGTTTTTTGGATTATAATATGGAAATACTGTCCTCATATACTAATAAAGGAAAGTAACACAATGTAGAAAATTGCCTATTATAAACAAAAATATTTCTTTCCATTTAAAAAAAGCAAACTTGCTCTTCCCATTCACATATATTTAAATATATCACACTTGAAAAAGCCAAAGCCATTATTACTTTTTTATCATCTTGATAAACAAACTGATCTTTGCTATAATTGCAGTGACAAGGTAGTTGTTGCAATGATTTTTTTTTTTTCCCCCTCACTTAAGTGAGTCTAATTGGCTGTGTGTACAATAAAGAAGAATCAGTAGGTTAAAATGCTAGTTTAGAATAGTTGTTATTTCACTTGCAAGTACTTTACTGAATTTTGAAAAAGTACTGTTACTTTGTTGTATGTTGAACTATAGAGCTCCAGGAACTCAACAGTAACAAATTAGTCAGGCAATTAAAGTAGAAAAATAGTGAAGAAATAGCTCATTTCGTGACTGGGGACTGTGTAAATAAATGTTCTATGTAAGCTGTTCTTGATAAGTGGTAATTTTGGTGCTTCAAGCTGCTTGCAGATGTCTGGTTGTTTGGTACACTTTAATTTTGTAATCTCCTGTGACAGCAGCAGGTTTGAGATCACTGTTTGGTCTCCGCTGCCTGACCAGTCCCACTTCAGAGAGGAGTAGAGAGATCCTGGAAAAGCAATCAGAACACATTATTCCTATAGCTTCCCATCTCTGTACCCAAGAGAACCTTGTCATCTGTGTCTTGTGGCTTTTGAGCATGCAAAGTTTTCAGGGGAAAACTCACTCCATCAGAAAAGATGGGTATTCTTGATTTAGGTGTTCCAGAGTTTAAGCAGAGACAATATGTAATACAGGTAGTTGGTAATATAAGAAATACCTAAAATCTCCTTTCAGAAGAACTGAAAGATTTGTTGAGGACTCTGGAGGGTAGAATATCGGAACCTTTATGAGTGTGCTTTGAAAACTTAATTCACCTCAAGGGTTACCATATAGGAAGGACTGCTGGAGTCACAGAGTTGGGATAGATTATCCTATTTTGTGAAACTTAGGGTTCAAAAAAATATTATTGTGATCTTGATAATGTACATCCAGCAAATTGTGTTAGGAATAACTGTACCTTAAATACTGTTTTCATTATCAAGACAGACATAAAATCTAACACACTGTTTTCAACATGAAGCAACCCTGCCTGGAAATGAGGTTTCTGTCTGACTACAATCATACATCTTTAGCACATTTTTTTGCCTAAAGCAATTCTTCAGCCTTTTTCCTTCCTGCATTTGCTGACATGCAGCCTCATTAAAGTCTAAAGTCTGTGGCAGTTTCTCTGCCTCAGGTCTCTCCGTACAAAGGCTGTCGGTGGTGGTGCTAAAAGGCATGGATTTCTGCTTTTTGCCCTACCTGAAACTCAGTTGTGTGATTTTTTTTTTTCACTGAGGCTTCTGCTACAATGAACTTCCAGCTTCAATAAAAGAACTGCAGAGCTAGTTCAGAAATAAATAGCAAACAGACAGTGTAATGTACTGCAGTTTTTACTGTGCATGTGAAACGTTATTACATTAAAAATATTCAGCTCAACTGAGACCTAGATCAAGGCTCAACTGCTACAAAAATTGTAATGATTATACAAATAGTCATTCAAGCAGCTGCCTAAATATTAACAGTGTGCAGTGTGTGTTTACTTACACTACTTAAACTACTCCAGAAAGTAAGACACCTGGAATGAACTCATTAAGAGGAGATAATCCAGAGACACCGGTGACAACAGTTACTTTCACTAGTAAACCCCTCTTTTTAACAAATGACACAGCTTTTATCAATGTGCTTTAAGCAAAATTGCCTTGGAATAGATTATACGTTGCTTTGAATGCTTAATTTAAAGCACATTATATGAGATTAACTCCAGGAAAAGAATCTAAAGGAGGGTGAAGCAAGTATAAAGTGTACAAATTTCGTGGCTGGGAAACTATGAATTTCACAAGGACTTCTTAAATATGAGTAACCTAAAAATTTATTATTCACTGTGAACCCAGCCTGCTTCTCAGAACAACCATGATGTTATACACAATAATAATATCTGCATGATGGGAGTGCAGTCTGTCAATGATACCACTGAAAAAACCAAGCTTTTGTGGGGAATTAAATAAAATGTTTATTATAGAACCTGCAACCACAACTTTTTCCTAGCTTTTGAGCAAATGTGTGTTGATTACTTGATTCAGCTCTAACCACTTTGAGCTTTCAGTTTCAAACATTAGCTTCTATCAAAAACATGGAGTAACTTTGTTTCAGATGAAGTAATCTCAGCTTTTGAAACCACTGAAGTTCACTTAACTGTAGGGTGAGACAGAAGTGATAATTAGGCATTAGGAAGAAATTCTTCACTGTGAGAGTGGTGAGACATTGGAACAGGTTTCCCAGAGAAGTTATGGATGCCCCATCCCTGGA